AAAAAAGCCGGAAGTGGCGCTGTGGCTCAAGTGGTAGAGCACTAGCCTTGAGCTGAAGAGCTGAGGGACAGCGTCCAGGCCCAGAGTTCAGGCCCCACAACCGGACCCAAAAAAAAAAAAAGAATTCTCTATCATTTCTTTTCTGAGAACTCAAGAGCTACAACACAGGGAACAACTGAGACTTAATTCATGGGCATGATGGATGACAAATTAATTTGTAAATCAGTCGCAGGTAATTTGGCTCATCAAGTTCATCTACCTACTGACCTTGTTTTAGACTCATTAATAGAGATACTAAGATTGATAGTAATCCAGAAAGCAGAGATTCCTGTTATTCTCTCTCCACCTTAATCCAGCTCACCCTAACCCAGCTCAAGGGTAAACAAAACACCCAAATTTGCCAGGTTTTGAACACTTGACTTTTGTCCTTTGAGTACAAAGTTTTTTTGTTTTTTGTTTTAACATATTCTCCTTCCCTCAGTTAATTTAGTGATTCTTGATTTGCATGTCTAGAGAGGTTCTTAGAGAAGAGTGCTTGAAAATTAAGATATTTGGGCTCATACTCAAGAAAGGAAGCACCGTTGTCATGCACACTAAGAATTCTTGCGCTAAAGGGGATAAACAAAGGAGGAGGTAACAAGGCTCGATAGGAAATGTACTCATTCCCTTACTCATGTAACTGTAACCCCTCTGTACACTATTTTTACAATAAAAATTTAAAAATAACAAACCCTGAAGAAACTGGCAGTGTGTAGAAGCAAAAGAGCCCAGGTGTCTATCAGAAAGGGAGGAACAAAGACAGTTTGTACCCTTTTCTCAAATAGCGGAACATCTGTTTAATCTGGTCAAAATAGATCATTGAACAAATCATTGAAAAATGGATGAATATATCTTTATTTTGAAAATCCTGGCATTCATTACAAATCATGTACTCAAACAAGTGCAAAAAAGATACACTATTAATATTCAAACTAGAATATTATAGAGAGATCCTCAGGCAAGAAATCCAGGGTAAACTAAACCTCCAGTACAATAGTATAAGGTACATTATATTGCATACATTTGACCTGGCATTGAAGTTATTCTTACAGAAACAAAAGAAATATTGGGACCAAAGATTAGCCTGAGAAGTACAAGGTCAGGCATCCATGTTGAATTTGCGCACTGAATACCTTTCAACCACTGTGTCTTAGAATAAATTGAGATACACTTATTATGGGAATGCAGGTTTAAGATAGTAATGCTATAATATGTTAATTATTGGAATAGCTGCTATGTTTTTGAAGTAGAAATAATCAACCCAAGTTAACTGATGACACAATCTCTGTGGCAATCTTGGAGTTGATTTGGATATACAATTAAGTCTAATTATAGAAAGCTTCAAAAGTAATGGGACATTACAAGGTAGAGCCTGAGCTGTAAACAAGACCTGAATTCCCTTGGTACATAAACTTTAGTCACTTACTCAAACTGAAAAAGTCCAACCCAAGGGATGACTCAAGGAGTATCCACTGCTAAAATAATGGGAAAAGACTGTATTTGTCCACCCTTTCTATATCCATATGTCTGACTCACCTTAATCTCTCCCCTCCCACCAACACATGTGAGATTCCTTATATTCATTTTGTTAAACTATGTGTTAATTATTCACAGGAATTACACATTGCAAACCTCCCATGTATATATTATATGTTAGACATTATGTTTATGAATATATGCATATGACCTTATATATGTTTTCTGTACATAAGGGAAAAAATGGAACTAGGTAACTTGAGCAGATGTGTGGGATTGGGAGAGGTGGGAAGGGCTAATGGAAGGGGTAACATTGGCATAGATTCATTGTGCTCATAAATTGATAGGTTGAATTGAAACCCTTTGTACAATTACTTAAAGATATTAAAATTAAAAGAATAAATAAATGCTCATTATACAAAAAGAAAAAAGATAAAAGTAAAATACTGAAAAATAAAATATAAAAATGTTGTCAAAAACAGCAAAATGTTTGTGTGTGTGAGAGAGGAAGCAAAGGGGGGAGGAGAGAGGGAGAGAGCGAGAAAGAGACAGACAGACAGAGACACGGAGAGAGACGGAGAGACAGACAGACAGACAGAGAGGGAGAGGGACAGGGAGAGGAGAGAGATCATTATCTTATATGCAAGAGAGTCTTGAAACACTGTCACACATTTGTTTTAGAATACTTTCATTATTATCCTATCTAACAGTATATAATGCATCCCATTTTTTAAGAAACACTCAGAAAAATCTAGCTGCAGTCTACTGATACTGTTTCCCTAGATAAACATGACAAAAAATGAAAACATATGTTGTTTTAGCCACATATGAAGTGAAAATCAATTATGACAATTACGTTTCCTGAAGGCATTTCATTTTAGAAAGCATCTAGCTAAAAGCTCTTCTGATATAAGTAAAAACCTGTTTCTTTGGGACATATTCCACTAGTAAATGATATATACCGATCTGCATCCTGTAACATACTGCTAATCTTCTGAGAATTAAATTGTCTCTATTTCAATTTTATAAATGTTTAATTCTTTCATCCTTAGTAAAGTTTTCTGAAAGTATATTACCCCTGCAGATGTCACCATTCAGCAATTAAGGAAGACAGCAATGCCCAATTGGTAGTGACTTCTCTACATTATGGACTTTGACACTTTGGACTGCTGGAGAGGGAGTAGATTAGGTAATGTAATAGAATCTACAGTGACTAATTTCTTTGCATAGAAAACATTTTGTTTTATAAATCTGCATATTTTATCCATTTACCAACCCCAAACAAAAGCAATTAATGATGTTTACAGAGAAATGAAACAGCTGAAGACCAGTACATAATCACCAGATTTTGTTTTCTCGTCTTTAAGACTTTTAGCACTAGGGTTTCCAGCTGAGCATAAGTTTAACTTCTCTCAAGACCTAGCCAAGCATTCTGAAGCTTCACTGAGCTTATATACCAAATTGAATTCATACTTCATAATTGAAAAAGACAGGCAGTTTGCATAACATGTTTGCATCAGTAAAATATTGAAAATGACATTTGTGCCCAAGACCATCTGAACAATCTGCTTTCACTGAACTCCACTAATGTTTTTGCCTACCATTTTTAAATAGCATCTTATGCCAAAGCATGTATAGTTGAGTCCACGAAAACAGACTTTTCTTCATAACATGAGGACATCACTGATTTCTCAACATATGCTTTGAGTTGCTTTTCACATTAGAAGAATGTTTTACATTGACGAACCCACATTTTCTTACTCTGGTCTCTCCTGTGACCAATGACATGGATTTTATATGGTAAGTTAGATGATTTTGGAACAGTAGTCCTGTAGACAAATTCAGATGCTTATTTTTTATCCTAAGTAAAGAGTAGATAATCTGTGGTCAGAAAACACAGTCTCTCTCTATGTAACCATGGGGAAATAAACTCACGCCTCTGATCTCATTGGAACTGTGTTCTGTGCAACTTAACTGATCAGCTGAATTCATGAACTAAAGCAAAACAGGTATTTATTCCTGGTGAGGGAGCATCTGCTCATTTCCTATGTGCTTGTTGTAGTTATTGTTGAAGAAAAATCAATATGTATATTGAGTCCACTTGTAAAACGCCCAAACACTAACATCTACACTATTACCATCTTAAAGGACCTGATCTGGGAAGGAGAGAGGAAGAATTTGGCTAGGTGTAATGACATTTCAATAACCGTAGCTGCTACTAAACTGTGAGCTCAGTAGATATCTTGAGAACAGATTCATTTCAGTAATGGGATGTTGTGCCTACAAACATTCTTGGTGCTTTGGAGTCTGCTACTACAACTTAAAATTTGCTATCCCTTACCATGGTCTGGCATCTGAGATCCCATCGAGGTCACACTGGTATTCAGCACATCATTGACAGCAGTATCACAGTACAGGCTCCTCTGGACATCATGCTCACTGTCAGTCTGGTCACTCTCCTCATGTCCACTATCCTTCAGACTGTTACCCTCTAGGTCCTTGAAGGTAGAGCTGCTGGGTTGAAGAAAGAATGTTAATTTACAATTATGATAGAACAGATTTTTAAATTTTTCCTGAGCCAGGATGATGTCAGCTCTGTAATGCAGCCAAGAGTGGCTGAATTATCCAACAGAGTGAAATAGGAGGAAGAGAGATTGCTGTTTAAATATAATGAAGCTTAATATTGCAAAGACGTTCCCACTATCAGATACTGATGCAGCTAATATAAAATAATATAATTATTTTCAATGAATTACTATAGAGAGGTGGAGTAAAATACAAACTAAAACAACCACCTCTAATGAGTGTCATCATTTTAAGCTTTGTTTTATACAATCAAAGCAAAATAGTAATAGCTGATGTTTACTAAATAATTACTATTCATGAGTCACTGTTTTATGTTTATTAAATCATCACAACTCTATAAAAGAGAGGTGCTACCAGCATTCCTATTATAGGTGCAGTAACAGATACATAGAAGGTAAACAACTTGCCAAGGGCATACTGCATTCCGGAGACAGTGAAGTTATAGCAAAGACACACTCGAGCAAATGTGCTGTTGTCCAAACAAAGGAGAGTGCCATGGCTTGAACTGGGACAAGTCCCAACAGTCCTTCTGTGCCTCCACAAAGGGAAAGTTATAAAGATGACATTACAAGTTCTATTGATCTGTTCAACCGTGAACATTCACTTGTCTGCCTCTCTAAGATTTTAACAAAAACATTCAGAGCATATGATGAGGAGTTATGCTGTGGACACAAAGTATACACTGTCACTTTCCACACCAAGCCAAGAAGAATCACAGCATATTTTTAATATATGACCAACCTAGATGTAGAATACTTGTTGACTGAAATATAAAAAGGAAAACATCAAGAGGGCAGTATCTGAAGAGTAGTAATTATAAGAAAAAAGAGTAGGATGGGGTGAAGCATTGACCATTTGTTAATTATTTTCAGAAAGGGTAACTGAACATCAACTTCACTAAAACTGAAGTCACTCAATAGGCCAGCCCATTTGACTTCTCCAAATGATATCACATCACTAACTCAGCCTTATGAACCCATGAAGATATAGTTCTATTTAAAAAGTCATAATTGAACTAGAAACACATGATTTAAAGTGTCTCACCATTTATAGCTTGATGACATACCATAAATACTAATCTCACAATTTAAACAGATTCAGTCTTATTTTAGAAAAAAATATGGCCCTGCTGAAAAACACTCTGTCTGTGTGTGAGTGTGTGTCTGTGTGTGTGTGTGCATGTGTGTCTGTGTGTGTGTGCTCATGTGCACGAGCACTTGTGCAGGTGCATGTGCCAGTCCTGGAGCTTGAACTCAGGGTCTGAGCACTGTCCTTGAGCTTTTGCAAGGCAAGTGCTCTACTACTTGAGACACAGCTTCACTTCTGGATTTTTTGTAGTTAATTGGAGATAAGAGTCTCATGAACTTTCCTGCCTAAGCTGGATTCAATCCACAAGCCTCAGAAATCAGCCTCCTGAGTAGCTAGGATTACAGGAATGAGCTACCAGTGCCTGGCAAGAGAAAAGAAATAATTTCCCTGGCTAATATCATAGGCTTCTCCATTTTTAATAGATTAATTTTCAACCTATATTATCTAGTGTCTGAACCATAATGAAATATTAGTTAATCACCAACACAAAACTGCCACTTTAAGCCAGAAAATTCAAATCTGAATTAACTGCATTACAACAGTTTCCAAATCATGTTTGAGATACATAATGGCTAAAAGCAAGGTGATTAGCCATCCCTTAGAGTAAGGCTTTTTAACTTGGGCATTACTGATATTTTGGGCCACATAACACTTGGTTGTGTCTGTTCTGAGCATCAAAGTAACAACCGAAAACATCTTCAGCAAAGCATTGCCAACTCACACCTAGTTGAGAACAACTGTGCTAAAATCTTTGAACTATTTTCCTATAGTATACTATAGTAAAAAAAAAATAGTACTAACCTTGAAGTCATTAGAACAAACGATAACCTATAACCTGGGGCTTGATGTCTAATATTTTTGTATATCAATTTTCTTTTTTTATTGTGAAAATACTGTACAGGGGGGTTACAATTACATGGGCAAAATAATGAGTACATTTCTTATCAAGCATTGTAGCCTCCTCCTTTGTTTCCCCTTCCCATCCCTTCCCATCCTCCCCCCACCCTCCCCCAATTTTCTTATCCATAAAATGAATTTGTTAAAATCTTCACATGCCCACTTTGAGAACTCAATAAGACATTGTACATGAATTATCAGATACAAATACATGGTAAATGAGTGATTATTGTTTAATATATCATTATCCTATATGGTAATGCCTTCATTGAGCTACAATTAAAATAAGATGGCCTAAAAGGAATGCTACTACACTGTAGGTGGGAATGTAAACTGGTTCAACCATTCTGGAAAGCAATATGGGGATTCCTCAAAAGACTAAACATAGAGCTCCCCTATGATCCAGGGCATTTACCCAAATGATCACAAACAAGGCTACATTAAAGCTTCCAGCACAGCTATGTACATTGCAGCATTATTTACCATAGCTAAGATATGGAACCAACCCAGATGCCCGTCAGTAGATGATTGGATCAAGAAAATGTGGTATATATACACAATGGAATTCTGTGCTTCAATCAGAAAGAATGACACTGTCCCATTCATAAGGAAAAGGAAAGATTTGGAAAAAATCGTATTGAGTGGAGTAAGACAGACCCAAAGAAAAATAGGTTCCATGGTTTCCCTCATTTGTAATAATTAGTTTATATTTGGGCTTGTCCTAGCAGAGGATCACAACACCTCAATAGCTATGTACAAATGACCATATAAAATGATGCTAACTGAAACAAGATATGGAAACAAAAAGCTTTTTTTTTAATTTAATTTAATTTTATTTGTGAACATACTGTACAGAGGGGTTACAATTGCATGGGCAAGATAATGCGTACATTTCTTACCA